CTTTCTTCCCGTTGCACAAAACGAAGAAAAATTCTAAGTTTTTTCAATCTATTTTATTTAAATATTGATATAGAAATAAAAAATAAAACATACATATTTAAAAACTACATCAAAAGTTCAACAAAACAAGTGGTGACAAGAATATTTTATTTTATCATATAGGCCATGAAAAAACACAAATAAATATAAATTCCCATAAAGTTGGAATAGTGTCTTGGAAGAAAGATATATGACGGAGGGAGTATCAAAATATCTATAAAACTAGAGCTGACATGACTGTATCATAAAAAAAGATCTCCATGTGGATGTCGACCCATAAAAATGTGAGAAGATTCATATTTCACATGTGAATCAATATAATGTAAACTTTAAGATCACAAAAACACAACTCAAAGATGAATTGTGTAAGAAAAAAATTCTTTTCTCCATGTTCTCACGTTCTTATAAACACTTGCTTTTTATCCACTATCTAATCTTTTTATATACACATAACATTGTGTGATGTATATTTGGGTAGACATTTTGATATCTCTAATATATACGGAGTATAAAAAAAACATGAACCACTTATTTCATCAAAGAAAAAATAAAACTATTTTGAAATAAATTAAAACAAAATGTGGAAATTATTATTTTTGGGAGATAGGCTAATTAATTATCTTTGGCTTTTGAGGTGAAACAACTATCCCAAAACGTTGTTCATCAAACTCCACAATAACGGTTTGACTTTGGTCAAAACACAAAAGAGCCCCTAAATCACTCGAAATAAAATGATTTGCGTCTGGTTGGTGTATAGCATAAAATGACCACATTTCCATTTAGCATTAACATTTTGAATACACTCATTGTCCCGCAATAAAGTCTCACTTTAACTTTTTTTCAAAATTAAAAAATTTTGACAATAAAATTTGAAATGTACTTATTAAATAATGATGTTAATTTAGTATCATTTGTTTTGTCTTGAAATATAATTTTAAAATATCAGTTTTTTTTTTTACAAAATTCATTAACATATAAATTTACATTTTGGTGATCAAAGTATCGCATTTTAAGATAAAATTAAAAGACATAATGGAACATTACCTAGAGACAGTGGAAGTAATTTTTCAATAGTTTATATTAATTTTGAAAATGTTACTACTAAATAACATCTTCGAAATGTTAAAACTAATGTTAGAGTTGTTATCAAACGAACACTTCATTAGGGTTTGGCATACGAAGGGTTTGTTGTATGTGTTAGACCAAAATGCACTTTCATCCTTATATAATGAGAGCTATTCAATTACGAAATGGTTCATATCCTCTTAACTTGTTCCCCGCAAATTTCTCCGATCGTGGAGTTATGGATGGTAGTGTATGATATTTAATTATATTCAGTATTATTATTATTATTATTATTATTATTATTATTATTATTATTATTATTATTATTATTATTATTATTATCTAGGTTATATATGGGGAGCAAAATTATGAGCTCTTTTAATGTTATTTTTCGGTTCTTTTCTTCATCATTTTTGTTGCACCGTCGGGTTAGATTTTCCATTAGGCCCCGTTTGGTACACGGATTAAAAACTATGGAATTGGAATTGAGGACATCAATTCCAATTTTGTTGTTTGGTAGCACAAAAATTATAAAGATTTGGAATTGATAATGCAAAAAATGAATTGAAATTGGCAGAATTCAATTCTATGGAATTGAATCCCATGGAATTTCAATTTCAATTCCATTCCAATTCCGTCAATTCCGTATACCAAACAGACCCTTAGGGTCAGGGCTTCTTCATCTCCTATAAATAAAGATGTGACCCCATTTAGAATAATCAATTAATAACAACACAAATCCTTTCTCTTTTTAATCCTTCTTTCTATTTCTCATCTCATTTTCTAGAGCATGAAGAACACTCGAAATTCTTCCTTATCTAATACGTGTTCGTATCATTGGTGTCGATCGGGGTGTAGAGAAAATAAGAACTATTTCAAAATTGAAGGGAGCATTGCAAATTGTAATACCTTCAAATTAAATGTCATGAATATCATATTATGACATTCATAATGAGACTGTTAAAACAAACTTCAGTCATTTAATTATATGCAGAGAATGGACATCAAAAAGTGTTTGCTTTTGGAAGGTAGATAAGGAGTAATTAGGTGGCCATGGACATGTTCAAATGCAAACTAATTAATTGCATGAATCTTAAAATGGTTGGGGTGAACATTTTTTATCAGACTCTATTTCGTATACAAAATTCAAACTATGGAATTAGAAATAGAAACGACAGATATTTAGATTATATTTAATTCATGACCAAAGCGTATAACTGTTTTACCAAAAATACATCAAAATGGATAATGTTTTGTGGGACGAAGGGAGTATGTGAATTTGGAACTGGTAGTGTCAAAAATGAATTAGAATTGGAAAATTCAATTCTATCTCAATCAATTCCATAAAATTTCAGCTACCAATTCAATTCCAATTCCGATAATTCCGTGTACCAAACGAACCCTTAGAGTTTAGGGTTATACAAGCAAGGGCAAGTCAACAAGAAAAAGGAGGAAATTAGGGAGCATTGTAATTAAGCATCCAAATTAGATTTGCATAATCTATATATGTTTAGAGGATTCAATGGGGACGCTATGGCAAGTTGGTAATTAATGGGATTTTGACTGTGAAATTCTATCCAGATGCATTTAACTGCCCCAAAATAATATTGACTACATTTCACCATTGATAAATTAATTAGAATACCCTGAATATTAATTTCAACCAAAATAAAGATGAACGTATAATTAAAACAAAAGAAATATGCAAAATAATTGTTGTGTTATTCGTAAATAAGTGTTTGCCGTACGTAGAAGGCGTAGATAGATATATGAGAAATATCAACGTCGAAGAACCAATATCGATTCTCTAATCTTAAAAATGGATTACTCGTTTTCATTTTTTATATTTTAATTATCTAGACTCTAGACTTTAGTTTCCAGACTTTTGATTTCACTATCGAGATTTTAGTTGAAACTAAAAGAATTTTACCAAAACAAGACAAACTTGTAGAATTTTTGCAAAAATATAACTTTATATGTTTTCCACACTAAATAATATTGTTGGATTGTGACACGCCACCATTAGGCATTGTGTGTTGGTATTTCTACGTTATTAAAGTATTACTCCGTATTTGGCATTATGGATGTTATTATGATATAAAAACATTGAATTCTCGGCCTATTTTTATATATGGAGCATGTTTTATTAGTACTAAATCAAACAGAAAATGCGCGTACGTAATTGCCTTAATTTACATTCTCGCATATTCTTTATGTTTAAAGAGAAGAACGAATTGTAGATTAAATGCCAGAAAGATTGATAATAGTTTCAGCGTTTAGTTTTAGTGACTTGGAAAAAGATTATCTGAGGACACTGTTCTATAGTTTAATTTTAACATTTTCAAAATTAATCTACATTGTATCCTAAAAAAATCAGAGCTCTAAGCCCAATTCTCATTTTATATGTGGTTTGTTTGATCTTTTTAATCACTTCATAAGCCTTCTGTTTTGTCTCTTCAAACTAGCTCTACCAAGCAATTAGCAATATACGGAGTACAATCTAAAAACATTTTTGTTTGCTACAAAAATGAAGAGGCACCTATTGTCATCTGTGAAAACGTTATATTTACCTCATATTTACAACTTGTTATTGTGTATTGTATCATATATATCTACCTCTTATTAATAAAATTCTAGTTATTTTAGAATATTGATTAAAAAAACATCATACCTATAACACCCTCTGAACCTCGGAGATAACTCTTTTTTTCTCAACTTCTACGTATAATAAATTCAACAATATATATATATATATATATATATATATATACACACACACGCACACAGACATATACATACATACATACATACATACATATATATATACATACATATATATATATATATATATATATATATATATATATATATATATATATATATATGACGCGACTATATTATTCCATTAAAGAAGTAACAAAAATAACCAAATAAATACTCCATATAATAAAATTTAGCATTGTGAATAATGCAGAGTAACATTATTGAATTTTTTTAAGACAAATGGAGTAATAAATTAAAATACTACTTATGGAGTATACCCTACTACATATATTGGGAACAAAATTTAATATTTTAACTTTAAGGATTTTTAGTAATAGTCATATTTTAAAATATATCTTTACTTGCTTTCCAAAAAGAAAAAAATCGTTGGTTGAGAAAAAAAGATTAAAAAAGTTTGGGAACATAAGTTGGAGTTGGAGTGATCCATTTGGTCATCATGTGCAACAATTTGTAAAGATATTGTCGCCGAGTTACATTAGATTCGAATTCTATCAACGACAAAAAAGAACAAGAATGCTAAACATTATAACTTAATTTAATTACCCACAATCTAGTGCATGGATCGGTACTGAATGAGGTCAATAGGGATTGGTGTATAATCAAACAATCAACACTCAAGACTGGCCTTTGAGAGGTCTTGAGTTCGAGTCTACGTGGACTCGTGGAGATAGGAATAAACCTGAGTAATTTTGGGGCACATCAAATTATTTTTTAAATTGTACACCGTTCGTGATGCTATCACACATTTCTTGTTCGAAATTTAAAAATTTAATTTTTAAATTTTGAATAAAAAAATATAAAAAAGGTGCAAGATGAAGTACAATTTAGAGCACAACTTGTACTTTGAGCATTTTTTTTATAAACCTATAGTCCCTCTCATTTAACTCTTTGATAAAATTAGGTCCCGTTTGGTATTAGCGTTAGAAGTTATCGTAACGTTTTGAAAAAACTATGTGACGATAATCTTTAGTTTAGCACTTTCGGTGTTAGTCTGCACCGCTAAAATTTTATTTAAAATATTAACGCTAATTGAAAAAGCTCTTCTCAAACACGCATTATGAATTTGTCAATTTCATTTTCATTCTCACCAGTGTACAAAAAAAAAGCAGAAACGCCTAAAGTTGCGTTTGGTACGGGGTGAATTCTTTTCTTCTTCTTCCTGCCATAGACTCGGAGCTATCCATCCAGGTGCTTCTAGTTGTTGGCCGCAAGCTACGCCTCCATCGTCTTCCTCCGGCCCCGTCTTCTATGTGCATTATTAGGTTTTGTGATTTTACAGTGAAGTTTTAGATGAAATTAGTGATTGGGCATTAGGATGTGGATAATGTTTACAGTTAAGTTTCATATACTCAGCAGATGGGTGCAATTCATGAATTGGATACTGCCCTTAAAATCTAGGGTACTTTGCTCCCTTAGGTGAACTCAGCAAATAGGGTTTACCCCCCTCTGGCTGGATTGAACACACTGAGACTATTGTGAAGGCATTCTTTGTTAGTCAATTTGTTTCAAAAGTTTAACATTGGAAATTGAATATTGCATTGCATCTTAGTTTTGTGCATTAAGAGCATTGATCTAATTTCTAAACATAGCTATCATCTTACATGGTAAGTCCATAATCCTTCCACACAATGTATCAGCAGAATTCTGTTTATATCATACTCTGATATAATGTTTGCCTATAAGTTTGTATATATGGGTTGAGGTATGTGTTTAGTATTTATCATGGATTATTCGTTCTAAATGATTCTAAGCATATGTATTTGCGTATATTGTCAAGTATGTATTTTAGGCGTATGTATTCTAGTGCTTTATTTTGGCTAATTGTTACCAATTTATCAACTCAACGCGTTCTCCTCATAGATGAGATTGTGTGCCTTGGTTTTCCTGAATGTTTGCCAAAATTCAGGATTATTATTGGACAAGTGCAAATAGGGAATTGCTCAGCAAGGATTGGAGTATTCTTTTAATTACTTACAATGGCGTCCGAATGGAAAGATGAGGATATGAATATGATTGTCACTCAAGTCAGTGTTGGTGGGTTTGGGGGTGACGTGAGTGCAAAAGATCTATATGATTATCTTGAAAGGCAAGTTGGTCTCATATGGAGGTGTAGATTGAAGACTTCTTCGACACCGTCTGGATCATATCCAGATTACACCATAGATGCTGAGGACGTAACAAAGAACAGTGGCTATGAAAAGGTGGTCCCGCATGCTTTTGTACATTTTGTAGAGCCAAGTTCAGCAAAGGCAGCTCTGGCTGCTGCTGGGCGCAAGCAACTCGTGTTGGCTGGAGATACTTTGACAGTCAGTTTGGGACCGGAGAATCCACACCGGATGAATGAGAGGAGGAGGACTGTATTGGCACATAGGCTTCCCGATGCTCTTTTTGAGGCTGGAGTCATGGCGGGCCGGGATGATTTTGTTGTGTCTTGGAGGGGACCTGCGAAGGGGGCTGATTTTTATGTGGACCCTTACAATGCTACTTGCAGAATGGTTTTCACAAAAGACACTGTTTTCAATGACCCCGGAGAAAACAAACAGACTGTCATAAAATGTGATTTCAAGATAGAGTTCACCTTGAAAGACATCAACCAAATTCAGAGGCCAGATGATTACTCTTCTTTGGTTCTCTTGGTGCAATTAGCTTCGTCTCCTCTCTTATATTACAGGACGTGTGCTGATGATATTGAGAGTTCAGATCCGTATGAAGTGCCTGATGATGATGATCCGTGGATCCGGACCACAGATTTTACTGGAGCAGTCGGCCGGTGTAACATGTTTTGGATTTCGATTAAGCCTTACAAGGGCCCTACTTTTAACAAGGTGATGGAGTATTTTAGGAAACATAGAGTGCCTCTTGATGAATTGTCAGGGAAGAAGATCCGGAGAAGGGACGAGTGTTCGATTGGGTCACCATATCTTGACCCTTTCTTTTGTGTGCATGGATATGAAGGTTTGAGTTTCTCTGTATTGTTTTTGCTGAATGCTGTTGTGCACAAAGGTATATTCAATCAGCATCAGCTCACTGGTCATTTCTTTGAGCAACTCAAAAGGCTGCCAGAGGATGTGAATCTGGCTGCTTTGAAACACCTATGTGCCTATAAGTACCCGGTGTATGACGCATTAAGGAAGTTGGAATCTGTTCAGAAATGGCTGTTAAAGAACTCAAAGCTCACCGAGAGACGAAAGGAATTAGATGATATTGTTGAAGTGAGGAGGTTAGTGATCACTCCTTCCAAAGCATACTGTATTCCACCCGAGGTTGAGCTGGCAAACAGGGTTCTAAGGAGATACAGAAATATTTCCGACAGATTCTTAAGAGTTACTTTTATGGACGAAGGAATGAAAACGCTTTCCCACAATGTTCTCTCATTTTACCCTGCTGCAATTGTGAAGGAGGTTGACACAAGAAATTCATTCCGCCAGAGCACTTCTGTGTTCTTGAGGGTGAGAGACATTGTAAGGAATGGGTTCCGTTTATGTGGCAGGAAATATTCCTTTTTAGCATTTTCTACAAACCAACTTAGAGACCGTTCTGCCTGGTTTTTTGCTGATGGGGAAGGAGTTCGTTTACAAGAGATCAAAAACTGGATGGGTAAGTTCACAAACAAGAATGTTGCCAAGTGTGCTGCCAGAATGGGATTATGTTTCTCTTCCACTTACGCCACCTTTGATGTCCCGCGCAACGAGGTCGACTGGAAGCTTGAAGAGATTGAGAGAAATGGGTACGTTTTCTCCGACGGAATCGGTATAATAACAGAGGAACTAGCAAAAAAAGTTGCGGAAAAGTTGCAGTTGAGTGTAAACCCACCTTGTGCATATCAGATCAGATATGCAGGGGCAAAAGGCGTCATTGCATGTTGGCCACAAAGGGTTGAAGGGGTGAGTCTTCACCTCAGGCCAAGTATGAAGAAGTTTGAGTCAGATCATACAATCCTTGAAATATGTTCTTGGACTAGATTCCAACCTGGGTTTTTGAACAGGCAAATAGTGACTCTACTTTCTGCTTTGGGTGTGGAAGATGAAATATTTTGGAATATGCAGGAAATGATGATATATAGACTTAATGAGATCCTTGTGGATTCAGATGTTGCTTTTGATGTACTTACTGCCTCCTGTGGCGAGCAAGGGACCACTGCTGCAATAATGTTGGCTGCTGGTTTCAAGCCTCACAAAGAACCTCATCTACGTGGCATGTTGACCAGCATTCGAGCTGCCCAGCTCGGTGATCTTAGGCAAAGGGCTAGACTCTTTGTCCCTTCCAGTAGATGGCTTATGGGCTGTTTGGATGAGCTAGGGGAACTTGAACAAGGGCAATGTTTTATCCAAGTCTCAGGCACATCCCTTGAGAACTGTTTCACCAAACACGGTTCTAAGTTTGAGACGAAGATGAATCTGAAAGTGGTAAAGGGCATTGTTGTAATTGCAAAAAACCCATGCCTCCACCCAGGTGACGTGCGGGTTCTGGAAGCGGTCAATGTCCCCGGCTTGCACCATTTGTATGATTGTTTGGTGTTCCCCCAAAAGGGGGATAGACCACATACTAACGAAGCCTCTGGGAGTGACCTCGATGGTGATCTCTACTTTGTGACTTGGGATGAGAGTCTCATCCCGCCCAGTAGAAGAAGCTGGCCCCCCATGGAATATGCTGCAGCACAAGTTCAAGAATTGAACCGGCCCATTACTCAACAGGTAATTATTAATTACATGCATTTCCGCCTTTCTGGGCACACTTTTTTTTTTTGCTTCCTTCCGAATTATTTTTAGTTTCTTTTCTTACATATAGAATGATGACCGAGGTAGTAAAAGCATTTGATATGCTAACATCCTCAGCTCAGCAGAAAAAGGGCCCATTTATTAAGTGTTATTTTGGCTGAAATGGATGAATTTGTTGAGCTTTAGGAAAGGAAAACTGCTTAGTTACATCTATTCTAGCCAAATAAATAACTCAAAACCTTCATGTTATGTTAATTTTCTTAATTCTGATGAAAAGCAGAATAAGCCTTAATCTTGCTACCAGGCATAACCTAAGTCAATGTCTCCTTCTTCTGGTTGGCAGACTGCGATTTATGCAGAAAAATTCTTCTATAACTACCTAATCACTGTTGCTTTTTTTCCCTGCTCTTTACAGCAAATTACAGATTTTTTCGTAAGGAACATGGTCAACGAGAGCCTGGGCCAGATCTGCAATGCCCAAGTCGTCCATTCAGATCTGAGCGAATACGGAGCGTTTGATGAGAAGTGCCTTAAGTTGGCCGAGCTTGCTGCCATCGCGGTCGATTTCCCCAAGACTGGGAAAATGGCAAATATGCCCCCCGGATGCAAACCAAAGTTGTACCCTGATTTCATGGGAAAGGAGCCCTTCCAATCCTACAAATCCAAGAAAATCCTGGGCAAACTTTACCGGAGAGTCACGGACGCTTCTGATGCAAATGAGGTCCCTCCTTCCAGCCTGGCATGCCTCCCGGAGGACATACCCTACGACACTGACCTAGAGATTCCAGGGTCAGATGCCGCATTGGACGAGGCTTGGGGCTGCAAGTGTTCTTATGATGGACAGGTGAACGCTCTTCTGGGGCAATACAAAGTGAGCAGAGAGGACGAAGTTGTCTCCGGACACATATGGTCCATGCCAAAGTATGGCAGCAACAAGCTCGTCGACATGAAGGAGAGACTGAAGGACGCGTATAGGACCCTACGGAAGGACTTCCGGAAGGTGTTTGACCAAATTCCTGCCCATGTTGACCAACTTTCGGACGACGAGAGGAACGGTTTTTACGAAAGAAAGGCTTCAGCTTGGTACAGGGTGACCTACCACCCCACCTGGGTGAAAAGGTCTCTGGAGCTTCAACACCCCGACGGGGCCGGGGAGTCGGTTATGCTAAGCTTCCCATGGATTGCGGCGGATTACCTTGCCAGAATCAAACTCCGGCGCCGGGGAGTCGCAGGGAACTCTGATTCCAGTAAGCCTATCAATGCTCTCAGTAAATATATTGTTGATAGACTGTGACAACACTTCAGCCTCTGTAAAAATCTACTGGTGTTAAGAAAGCTGGCTCTGGTGTATTTGTTTGTGCAGTTTTGAATAATGGGTTACAATTGGGTTTCAAGGATCTTGTAATAGAAAATTAATAGTATCATCAACATGGGCTAGAAAATTGTCCACAATTGATTGCTGTTGTGTTGTGTTATGTTTCAGTTTTTATTTATTGTGCTCTTTTTGAATTGTCTGAGAAAGAATTTCACAGTTCCATTTCATGGTAAAAAAATCCAAGTTTTTTTGACTAGGATTTGCAATTAAAATACACTGAGTTTAAATTGATTTTAACATCATCAATTTCATTTCGAGATATAATTTTCGAACATGAGTTTATAAAGTTTATTTATCTATGGTTGTTAAATAGATTAATGATCGAAATCTTGAATTGAGGACGAAGAAATTGAACTGTAATTTGTTTTTTCTAAATTTTGTTTAGAAGAAAGGAATAATGTAAACCACATTTTTCTAAAATTTAAAACAGAAGTGATGTTTAATTTAAAATAATTTTGACCGGAATGTTTTCTTTTTTTGGTTTAAAATCAAAAGTGTTCAAAATTGTGAAGTGTGCCCTTGGAATTTGATTAGAAGGAAAAAATATTGAAAACCAGATGTTTAAAAAAACAAATGAGAGAAGTGTGAGGTTTATTGAAATGAACAAAAAATTGTTAATTTAATTTAGAGTGGTATTGGTATTAAAGAAAAAATAGTTTTTTTTAACATAGAATTTTTTTTTTTTAAAGAGAGAAAGATATTCACTATTCTAGGAGCCGGAGACCCTACGTTGGAATAATGTGCCCAGGTTCTTTGTTTGTCTATTTCTTGGCATTTATTATTTTCCCAATTTTTTGCAACCCCAACATGATTTGTTTGTTTTTGAGTGTCTTTTGTGGTGCATCCATTATTACTCCGTATATAAAGATTAAACTAAAATGGCAATAACCACGTGGGCCGTCATATATTATTATGGGTTAAACTAATGTTTGAGTTTTCACCTCATATTTACCTTGCTCTTTATTATTATTATTATTATTATTATTATTATTATTATTATTATTATTATTATTATTATTATTATTTACGTCGTAATAAAATGAACACAACGTAATTTATTCATTCGTGATCTTTTAACTGAATTGTTTTCCTTTCAATATGTATCATGCAGACTTGACCCTGTCATTATCCATCTTAATGAGTTGAACGTGTCCTGTCGGACATGGGGTGAGGGCGCCCGAGTTCAATATTTATTTTAATAGGTCATTCCTCTGGTGTACTTATGTCGATCGTGTGTGGGCTAGAGTGAGGATAGGGGAATGGACAAAGCCATGTCCTTTGTTTCGTGGCTTCGGTCTTGCATTTGCTTGGATTCTTTACAGGTGTTGGGTGGTATGGTTTTTACCATATGGGCCATTTGGAAAGCAAGGAATCAAGCTTTGTGGGAACAAAAAGTGATGCAGCAATCGCTCACTGTAAATCTTGTACGTACTAAAGCTTCAATGGGACTGAGAAGCGAGAGTGGCGTTAACAGAACTTGGGGTTACAATTATATTTCCAGCCATAGGGACTCGAAGTAGGTCCTCCCTCAGTTGTATGTGGATGCTGCGATTTTCCAGCAAGAGGGGGTTGCTGCATGCATTTGGATGGGTGCTTCTCTCACCAGACTGTCGGTTTTTGGCAATAAAGAACGGCTAGATGCGGTGCGCGTTGGATCCTTTATTGGCAGAGGCTACGGCTTGTAAAGAGGCGATTTTCTGACTGAAAAAAGGGATGTCCGTAACGTGGAGTTACTCTCGGATTACCAAACGGTTGTCCGTGCTTTGGGTGCAGGCAAAGATTATTCTTGTTCTTCTTATTTTGGCTCTGTTATAGATGATTGTTGTTCTTTATTACACTCTTTTGATTCGGTAGTGGTTCATTTCGTTCATACGTTAGATAACAAGGTAGCTTACGCCTTGGCAAAAGCCTCCTCTTTCCAGACACGGGTGTGTGAAACTATTCCTCCACAAGTTGTAATATGGAGTACCATTTATTTTTAACTTAAAGTCTTTTACTGTAAAAAAACAAAAATCAAATGACACCCAATGAAAGATACAAGGCTCCAATGGAAGTAAGAGAGCCCATTGATAAATAAGTATTTATTTAATTAAATGGGCCAGAAGTAAATGATCCAACAACTACTTTGTATGTTGTTGGGCCCCACAAAAATGAATGCCCTGTTTGGTAATGAGATGCCAATTAGCCCCAGAAATGCCAATTTAATGATCCCTTTGCCCTTTTCCTTGTCAAACTTTGCCGGCCTTCATGCATCCACTATTATTTTTTCCGTCTTAAATTCGCTTCTCGGCATTTTTTTATTATTTATTAGCTCGTATTTATTTATATTGGAATCAAATTTGATACGCAATAATAAACAATCTTTAACTTTAACGTGAAACAAATCAAACCTTAATTAAATCAGACGAAGGGAATACACTTTTGGACTCTGTCTGGCTCAAAAAACCGTAATGAAAAAAGAGTTAAGAAAAAGAAATTAATTGTTGTAGAGAAAACAATAAAATCCGCTCCTTTCTACATACAATAAAACCAATTGCTCATAAATTTTGTGGAAATAAATAAATCAAATTATTCATCAAACTCATTATATGTACTCCCTCCGTCCCAAATTATTTGTCACATTTCTATTACCGAGGCAAAATATCAAGTTTTTCAATTCATTTTATTTACATATTGGTAAAAAAATAAAAAATAAAAATTACATATCAAAAAACTACATGAAAAGTTCTTCGAAATAAGAGGTGTCAAGAATACTTTATTTTATCAAATAACCAATGAAAACGTAGAAATAAACAAAAGTTCCCGCGACTGTTGAAAAAGTAAATGTGGCAAATAATTTGGGACGGAGGGAGTATTTCATTATTTTCATGGCTTGATGCTAAAGATCTCGAGTTAAAATAAAATGATTTAAAAATAACATTAGCTAAACCAGCGGCAAAACCACAATGGATGGTGCAAGGGACTGCACACTCGGGTCATCCAGGGTGGGGTGTTACAGAATGCATGTTGTATTGTTAATTAATAATTTATCTATCACGTCTTACTTTTACTCATAGAGTTAAAATTGAATTATAATATAAATTTAAATAATTGGGTTTATCTTAGAATATAGTTTGATATATCAAATTTTTATAATATTTATTTATTTAAATTATGTTTAATTTATAATCAAAGTGTGTCACTATTTGATTAAAAAAATCAAAATAAGAAAAAAAATTTGGACTGGAGGAGTACATTATTTCTCATTCAGTCAGGATGATCTAATGGGATGAAATTTAATGTGGTAAAAATACTTATAATAGTCAACTTTGAGATAGATAATCCGTGATGAAAAAGCATTGATATAAACTTTCCTATGTCTTCAATCAAATATTTTAACTTTCAATACAACTTTAATTTTGAAACAGATATAGTACTCTCTCTATATAAGATGTGACATAAATCTCAATTACGCAATACATAAAAAATAAAATCCTATTGGCATAAATAAATACATCAATATACAAAAAAATTATAAATCTAATCAATACATAGAAACTACAAATTAAAAATGATATTCATAAACAGACTTTAATTTATTTATAGCCTTATTTACTTACAAAAATATATATATATATTGGAGCTATATATGACTAAAATTAATTGCTACTCCCTACTAGCTCACAACTGCACCACTATAATCACATTAAAGCTATCCATCGATTCCACATTTATGAAAAATATATTTCTCAAAATATTTATAATATAATAATTAATAAATAAATAAAATTATATATTTATATTCCATGCAAATCACAATGTAGCAAGCTTAATTGGATTAATTAATTAATTACTTAATTAATTAATTCCAGTTAAGCAATTCTTCAACCATCTGCATTGCCACTCTATTCTCCTCATCCATGGCCGCTTCATCGGAGGAGTGCGGCGGCGATCCTCCACCTCCGCCACCCCAGGAACTCCACCACCCGCCGTCATCGTCGCTTGAGGATGATGACGTGGCCGGCGATGCATGGAGGAGAATTTTTCGTTGACCGTTATTCCCATCACCTCCTTCCTTCGTTGTCTTCTTCTTGTTCTTTTCGCCGGCGCGGAGGAGCTCGATTTTCGTGAGCCAGACGGAGCCGCCGCCGGAACCCTTCCCGCCGCCACCGCCGGGTTTCTTCTGCCAGACGCCGATGTCGCAGCTGTCGGTGTCGAGCCTCAGGCAGGTGATCGACGGCGAGGGCTCTTTGCAGCATTTCTTCAGCTTCGCGGCCAGAACGTCCAACGGGATCGGCACGGCGGCGACGCTCCGGCCGCCGGCGGCGGCGGGGAAGTTTGTTTTGGCGTTCTGGCCGTTCATCAGAACGGCCGCTTGGTCGTACGCTTTCGCCGCCTCCTCCGCCGTCTCAAACGTCCCCAGCCAAATCCTCTTCTTCCTATTATACCACACAAACATATTTGACTTTTTTTCTTTTCAATTCAATTTATTTAAATATTTTTGTAAAATTAAATAAAAGTTCTTTAAAAATGTTCCATGTCTACTAGGCGCAAAAAATTTAAAAAAAAAGAAAATTATATGTGGTTGAAAATGATGCAACAGAGAATAAATTACCGTAGTAAATAATTAGTAGAATTGATAAACATTAAATAACATATATAAACTGTGTGTACATATGTATACACTAACAAGTGAAGTGTATATATATAAGAGAATGTGTGTGTGTAGAGAGAGGTGATGAAGAATTAATGAATAAATTAAAATATAATGGAAGTAAATAAAGAAATTAAATAAGCAGAGAAGCTAGCTAGGGAGGAATAAAATATAAGTGTGTGTGTGTGTATATAGATAGACATATATAAACATACATACAGCAAAGGGTGGCGGATTTCAGAAACCCAAGAGCCCCACTGGCGTTGTCTGACACCTCTGAACTTGTTGCATTGTACCATTGCTTTTGCTTAGCTTGTTTCTGATTATGAGACTATATATTTTATATTTATATATATATTGTTTGTGTGATTATGTTTATTATAATATATATATATATATATATATTAATTGAGTTAAGAATGAGAGAGAAGAAGAAATAGTTTATGTTATGTTGTGGAGGAAGGCCAGGGAAGCAGCTAAGCTAAGCTAAGAGATGACTGAGGTATATATATGTGTGTGTGTATTGTGTATATATATATATTAAAATTAATATGTGTGTGTGTGTGTGAATGGAGGTTTGGGTACCATGCATACATACATAAGGCAATGGATATATAACATGCAGGTGGTGTCGGTGGTGGAAGAAGATCATCTGATCAGCTCGATCTATATAGAAGATAGATCAGATTTATGTCTCCCCTGGCTAGTGGCTACTTGTACACTACTAGCTAGCTAGCTCTTCTATACAAAATAAAAAAATAAAAAAAAGTTTTGGACAAAGCAGAGTGGTCCACAACCACTCCATACTTCACATTCATTTATGGTGAGATTTTGTGTGTGAGATGTTAAATTCAATGAGTCACCTATGCTTAGATTAATTAAAAATTTTGGCTTCTCTTATAATTATTTTTAAAAAAGAACAATATCACTTGATAAATTAAAATTATTGTGTGAGTCATATTATTAATATTGTACTTAAATTGAAAGTGGACCAGACCTGCTCTGTTGTATAGTAATTACTTGGACAAACGGTCTAACATCTCAATCTTTTTTAACTAGCTAGTCCACACAACAGGCGGTGACTTCTCATTCTCGTATAGCCAACTCAACTCAAACTACAAATGAATATAGCTCATTTTTCTAAACCCACATCCAAAGAATAAGATGAGATGTGACGGATGAGATGTGAGAAACACAGGTTAAGGAGAGATATTTTAGTCTATTTTAGAGAAATCAAAATGTTTTATAGAAAAATGAAAAAAATTGGAATATTTTGTGGGACGGATGGAGTAATAAATATGAATAATAGGAAAAGAGTAATTTACTTAAATAGGACTAAAACATAATAACTTTCTCAATATAGGACCAAATGTTTTTATTTTCCAATGTAGGAGTATTGGTCATTATCTATTAGTCATTATTCAATTAAATGTCCAGCATCACTTGGACATTATTCTTCATTAGTCATTATTAAGTCTTATTTATGAAATAAAAAAGTTTAAGTCCTACATTGGTAAATGACTTATGTTTTAGTCATATTCCGTGCAAATTTCACATAGGAAAAACACACGATACTGACGTTGGAACCCAGATCAAGAGAAAACCTTGGGTCTCATCTTTTTAGGCGATGCCATGCCAAGGGAATATTTTGTTTTTTCTCAAGGGATATATTTGTACCACATATTGGCATGATAGGCATGGAAGGAGCTTGAAGCTCTTATTACCGAGAAGAAGATGAATAACAGAGAATGTAGATTTTTTTCGTGACATTGTATTTATAATAGAACAAGGGCCCTAGGGTTAGAATTGTTCTAGTGGATTTCTCTCATGAACCAGTCTAATATCTTCAACATAGGTCTAGAGAATATTATTCCAATAGCGTTGGAGGCAATTAGTAAGTATATGACTTCTGCAAGTATCAGGTGTAGCTTTATATACTCTACTTTTTATCATCAATATGTAATTAAAGCATAATTTACCTCTTTTAAGGTAGTTGACCGATCGGTTCTCAGAGCTCATCAAGGATGATATAAGTAGTAGTGTGTTGAAGAGAGTAAAAAAGGCAAACAAGCAAATAGGACATACAAAGAGAGTAATTTGAATATATCAAATTCTTAAAACATTTTATTATTTAACACTATATTTAAATATTGGT